AAGGACAGGGAAAAGACACTGTAAGGGTCTCTGCTCTTTACGGTAGGAAATAGGGTGCATTGCTCTCATCAGGCTGAGGGGCATTTCTCGGGTTCGCAGTTCGCTAGCTGGCTTTAAAGGACCATCCGGACTCAATAAGGCTCCCAAACGCAGCTGTGAGCCACTGACGGACCAGCTCACTTTTCTCAGCAGCACGTACTGTCACAAGCTCTTAGAGAAAGGCTGAGCCCTGGCGACCTGGATGCATTTTTTTTTCTGTAATGTTCATGACTTAACACTTAAAAGAGTACATCTGGATTGCTACCCTAGCGAACGATTCCCCCCTGTTTAGATCTGTATGACGCTCACACGGGAAAGGGCTGATTAAAAAATTATAGAGTAATGTACAGGAACAGGCTGAACTACGGCCTGCTTAGACACCTATCCTTTTCAGTGGGATAACAAAGGAGACTGTATAATTAAGTACAATCCACCTGTCAGCCAGTCGGTAGTCAACTGAGGGCTTCTCTGCACTACAATAGGCTTTCACCGAGTTATAGATTCATGAGAGAATATGTGTGCAAATGTAAAACGTCGATCTACCGATGATCAACAGAAAATCCAGAAAACTGTTTTACAAGTCGTCGATGTTAAACGTGAGGTAGCCCGAACAGAGGGGAATGCTGTCTGCGATACTGTAGCGATGCTGTTAACGCCTGAATATTCAGTGGGGCCCCCCTATCGATAGGCACGCCATCTGGGTGCCATTGGGTGGAGCAGTGGCTCCGCGGCTGAGGATCTGGGCCTGTGGCTGGGAGGTTGCCGGTTCGAATCCCGCGGCCGGCAGAGGAATCCTACTCCATTGGGGCCCCTGAGCCAGGCCCTTCACCCCAGCTGCTCCAGGGCGCCATATACATGGCTGACCCTGTGCCCTGACCCCCAGCTTCTCTCTCCCTGTCTGTGTGTCTCATGGAGAGCAAGCTGGGGTCTGCGAAAAGACACATCCCTAATGCAAGAAATTGGATATGGTCGATAAAATGATCTGATCTCTTTATCTTATCTTCAGACTCACCATTCATCCATGTCCAGAAAACCCGTTTTCTTCGCGGTCATGCGGGAGATCCACGCCAGAAGCACAGGGCTCCGGGCGGGATACACCCTGGACGGATT